TTTCTTTTGCTAAGGAGCCTTAGTGACTGGAAACTGCTATGAAGGAATGAGAAACAACCATTCCCTCTGCTGCTGACTGTCCTGTGAGCAGGATCTGCCTTATAATGGTCACTGGGAGATGCCCATGTCATGGCAACATTCTCAACTACCAATCTCCACAGGAATGCAGGATGCTCTGAACTCACTCCTAACTGCAAACACTCTAGGACAGAACCTTGTTGCCCAGTCAGGGAATATGATGGCATAAGTGAGGGTTGTTTAGTCTGGGAGTGTTCAGCCTGGAGCAAAGGAAGCTCAGGGGAGACCTTACTGCTCTCAACCTGCAAGGAGGCTGCAGCCATGTGGGGGTCAGTCTCTTAGTTTCCAACATGACAGTGTAAGCTTCACCTCACAATTATCAGGCATTTTTCACTGATGGCCATCAGACAGTGTATGAATAGAATAATAAAAAAAAGCCAACTTTTGGCAGTGGTTCACTATAAATCAAAGCCAAAAATAAGACAGGTTGCAAAGTATTATCAATGGACAACAAGCAGAATATGCAACAGAAGCAACAATATGCTCTGAAATATTACGTGAAATGATACTTGCAGAAATTAATTCAATCTATGACTTCTGTGAATAGTGAAGGTCACAACAGCTTCAAAAACACATAATTCCCTCAGCACCACAGTTCAAAAAATTGCAGTCAGATAGATGAGTACATCTTGCCCTGGATCAGTGGCAATGACTGTCTACACCCATAGCAACAGTGCCTGATGGTAAAGGCTTTGGGAAGTTAGCACTGAGCTGCAGGGGTTGATTACAGGGTTAAACAAGTACTAACCTCAGCTAAACACAAGAGGGAAGTTGTCCTGTCTACACAAATACTTGCCTCTAGTCTTCAGCAAATAAGACCAATGTCAATATTAATGTGATCAGTCATTAAATATTTTTCAATTTTACCCCTTAAATTAGCTTGCCATACTGTTGTCTTGCAGTTGGATGGTTAACTCTGGAACAGGAGGAAAGGGTCAGTGTTTTTCACAGAGAAGGCAGGCAACATTGCAGCAGCATGGACTGAGACTCTTGAAATTGCTGACAAAGACAGAGCAGTACTTGATGCCAGTGGTAGCCAAATCCTCATATGGAATGTACACCCAAATTCAGTTATGAGAAAGTTGGCTTGCAGGTTTCATTTCCTTCAATCTTGTGATTCTCATCCCGAGCTTCTCTTTGTTTTCTTTTCTTGATCAACCACATCTAGGCTGAATGTCTGAGAGCAGTCATATTTCCCTCAGGTGGAGTGGTAAGTAGAACATACAACAAAAAGACTGATTACATCAGGTAGTCAGTAGAGACAGGTCTATGCTAGTTAAAGGAGAGTGGCTTACATATTATTTTAAGATTTAAATCCAGTTTTCAGCCATTAGCCTAATACACTTCTGCCTTGGACTGCTCCAATTTTTCTTTACTACTTTCTCCTATGACAGGAGGCTCTGTTGTGTAACATCTCCCTTTATCTGCCTCTTCTCTACTATTTCCCTCCCCAAATAGATATTCTAGCCTTGACAGCATAAACCAGCACAGAGTTAAAATTTATGCACCTAGACTTGTTACATCCATTAGTCATAAAATATGACTTTAAATTCTATGAAATAGGTAGAAAACCAAAACTAAAATGAACAAATGAAAGCATTTCATTCAGCTTCTCAAATGTATGAGAGCAGGAGTTTAAAACTTCAATGCCAAAACCTAAGTCTTACTGCTGTACAGAATACATGAAAAAGTAATTTATCAACCTGTTATGAATTTCTGTGGTAACCTGCTTCCAAGTTCAGTGTATTTTCTTGAAGAAGCTGTAAAACATAAGGTATTTTCATAATCTGGATTGGTTTATTTTTACGCATTCAGGCGGGATATTCAATTAACACAGTCTAAAAGACTATTTTGCCCACGGTAAAATTTTCTACATTCTAAATGCAATATTCAACACTGCGTAACATTTGGACATGGTTAGATTGTTACCCAACTAATCTCGTAGTAAAAGCAAATAAAAATCACTACATCAAAATCTATCTTTTCATGAAGTTATGCAGAAGATTTTATAATACATGCCCTTTCCCCTGTGTTTCACTGATATAACTGCAGAGAAAATCAAATTCTAACATGTAGATTTTATTAGGATACAGCATTAGTGTTTTTACTATGGGTATTCTCATCCCTCCTCACAACTTAGGCAGATGCATCCAATTAATGATGAATCATTCCACATAAATTTCCTGTTTGTAACATACTGGCAATACCACATGACAACGTACAGAGCGTAAAATGGTTACAAATCATCACCATTTTTGTTTACAGACCCCAAAAAGTGTAGGGCAGGGGTGTCCCAAGAAAGAAATTGTTCACTTCAGATTCCTCAAGGAATTATCTTTGTGCTACTTTGAAGAAACTACACTACTGTATGCAGATAGAGATGTGTATGCTATACACTGTATACAATACACAACCAGAGACCACTACTAGAAATAAAGAAAAATTCATTTATTGTGATCCTAAGGACTATTCAGCATATTTGTAATAAAATTATGTGTGAAGGAAATTGCGGATATTTTGATCGCTAAGCGCCAGGGCATTTATGAACAGTTGTTCTTCTGTACCGTTTTACTCACTGAAAGCTGGGTCACAATTCCACAGGAGGTGCTGAAAAAGATAAGAATGAACTAGACAAACAACCTAGTTCTGTTTATCCACGCTGTATCTTCAAAATAACCAAAGAAAAGTGCCTCCCAGTGTCAAAGGAAAATAAAGGCAGCAGAATATCTGCCTGTATCCTCGACTGAAAATTTTGGTCAAGTTCCACTTTCTGAAGTAGAAGTCCATTCTCATTCTACCTACTTTGTTGATTAACTTCTGCCTTGAAGAAGTTTTCCTCTTTCAGGAATTTTCATGTCTTCTGCAGGAGCCTATTGCCCGCATACTCCAGGATCAAGCTATAATGTCCTAGTTTCTGATCCCTCCTGAGGAGGCCTGTCAAGCTCTGAACTCTGAAAGCTCACAGATGTTCCAAAGGTGCTTCTGTTATTCCTCAAATGTTCGGTGGTTGAAACAACCAACATTATGAAGGAAGCTGATCACAGGTAAGCCTCTCTTTCATTTTTTAAATAATGACTGATAGAAGGGAACACCTTTTCCATACTTACAGATATGAATTTTACATTTCAGTGGTCATACGTGAAGTTTGGTTGTTTGCTTTTGTTTCAAAAAACAACGTGGAATGTTTTGGGTGCCATAAAAAGGGTTCCTGATAAAAGGTAACAAAATCCAATATGCCACGAATATAGTATTTAATTTTAAGACAACCTATGTTCTCATGAAGATTTTTGAAAAGCAGGTTGGTATATAGTTCCATTTTTTTCTCATCTTGAAAGTTACCAAACTATTTGTACTCCGAATAGCCTAGGATAAACTTCCACGGCACGTGGTCATCCTTTAAATATTGCACTGAAAATATTTCAGTTCCCTTTAATTTCTATCACTTTTCATGTATTTTGAATTCGGTTTTCAGAGTCAGAATGCAGTGACAGGAATCTTAGGAGCATTTTTAAAGATATTTAAGAGTACAGCCCTGTCTGAATTGTGAGAATATTAAAGTCTATGAGGAACAAAGACTATTTTTTTGGCTATCACCTTCTTCATAATCTTAGGGGGAAATTTTCTGTACAAGCTCATTGTTCTTGATCAGGCACTGTAAAGGGTACATCTAAATGAAATGCTCTCCAGTGCAGGGGGCAAGCTGTCCTTCATCCAGTCTGGCTCACTAATGGTTAAGATTTTAAGACTTTTAACCTTCAGCAAAGAAATTGCTTTGAATTTTATTAAGAGATTTTCTCATTGACCATTTTGATTGCTGAGGTTTTAAAGGACACAAGCAGAAACATTCCAGAACAAATAATAAATAAACTGAACACAATAAAGGTAACTAGGTCTTTCAGAAGTCTGCAAGGACTCCAGGAGATGAGCAGTTGATTTCTTCAAGCTGAGCAGAGAAGCATGAAATGAACTTCAAGTTGCAACTAACTAAGGAGATAAGTAAGAAAGAACATGTCCCATTTTAATATTACTTAATACTAGGATTGACAAGGCATTTTAACAGCAAAGAAGAAGATCCTGTAATGGAGGAAAGCCTCAAATCTAGAGTGATCTGGAAGCACTAATTATTTTAAGTGATGACAATTTTAGAGGTCTACACATGCCAGAATGTAGCTTCTATTTTAAAGCACTATGAAGTCTATTTTAACTGAGAGGAACAAAATTCCATTGATTCTTTAGAGAATAAACTTAAGAAAACTCTTAGAAAAACACGAGTAGAAAGCTTGCTACTAGCTCTAGTGATAAACTGATTAGTTTTCACTCTATGCAAAGGAAATGGAACAATATTAAGGTGAATGAATTTAGGTGTAGATCAAAAAATGAAGGATTATGCTGCCAGGGAGTGAAGGATTATCATCACTTACCTCCCTCATCCAGAAGCTTCCCACTCAGGGGCTGGGATGTATCTGAAGAGTAACATGTAATGGAAATTTGTAGCATTAAATTAACTGCAGCTGATTGGAAGCACCTGATGGAGAAGAGGTGAGAATACCTGCTGTTTTAGAAGCCTGAATAGGATAATCCCCAAATCTGACTTTCTGGTCTTCTGCCCTGACATTAACTATTAAGGTTAAAATTTGTCTGAACACTGGAAAAAATACTATAATAGTCAGTTACAATAAGTTACTAGAGAGTAGTTTCCAGACCAACAAAAAGAAAATAGGCTCAACTTATGGTTTTTAACTGAGAGCATAGCCTCATGGCACCAGTACTCAACCAACCAGGCAATACACTTGGCATCAAAAGGACACACAGGTTTTCGTTGATCAGTACACGACACAGCCAAAAAACCCAAAGCACACCTATCATCTCCTCAACAGACTAGTTAAATACATGAGTCAAGGCTCCAGAAAACAAAATCTTACCTAGTAAGTGTGTACTCCCTGAGTCCTGAATGCAGGTTCATGGCGGAAAAAGTACCTATGCATCCACGCAATCGCTTATCTCGACCGATCTTCCACGTTACAAACAGTGGGCTGTTTGAGGGAGGAAAAAAGAGACATGATCACAGAAGCAATTTTGACAGTTGGTGTGAAATTTCAGCAACAGTGCCCTTCCATTTCAGGCAACGGGGGGCCAAATCTCTAAAACAACTCTATTATATCATGTGATATAATAGAAAATAAGATTACTGGAATAGTTTACGAACAGAATGAAAGCTCTTGGTAACAGATCTGATACGCTCAGTGTCCCTCATTAACCTTCTCCTGTGAATGGGAAAAGCCTTGCCTTAAGAGACCTGTACATCAGGAACCCTTTATGGAAGGGAAAAATACCCCTGTCACACTAGCCCATCCCTCCTTCTGAACACAAATACTTTGGTCCTTAACACTGCTGGCAAGAAACAGAAATCCTTGGAAGACAAGAAAACTTAGGAACACTCTTTAAAGAACGGCCTGAGGAAAGAGAATTTTCTCTATGAACCCCAAGTTAGTATTTAAAAATGACCAGGAGTGGAGCAAAATCTCTTAGTGAGTTGAACATGTCTCAATTATAACTCTTGCTATGAAGACTACAGCCCCACTGCACTAAAGCTGACAGAAACAAGGTGCATCTCTGACATTCTGAGCACCTGTGACCACCAAATACACACTTAAGGATGCACAGCTGACTTCTTGCCAAAGCCATTTGATGAGGCACTGCTCTTCAGCATCATACACATGTACACCCCTTTTGGTTTTCTTTATAGCTGTTTCCTGCACAGTCTCCTTACTACAGCCCGGAGCCATTGCTGTGAAGACCAAGAGGTCTAACATGAGGTAACCCACCTCAGGGCAGCAGCTGAGAAGCAGGAGACAAAGCAAACACAAATATCACACAGGTGCCCTGAAGGAAGGGAGCAGATACAGAAGCATTAATGGAGTCAAAAATTCACAAATTCACAAAAATCAAGTTGGCCACATCAAAAAGTAAGAATCATCTTCTGTTACATCTATCAGCTGCAAATAATGAGTAGATTTACAACAGTGCACTGTAAGATTAACAGTGCTGCACGGAAAGACAACCTTTGGTAACTGCCTTGTCCGACTCCTCATCTGAAGGATCAGTAAAAATATATTCTGCAAGTTTCTCTGCTTTGTGAAACACAACCGCCCTTTCCAGCTATGCTGAGATTTTAAAAACATACTAAGGCTAGGAGCTTTATTATATGAGTAGATCAGTCACTGCACAATTGCACAGCATAACAGAGCTGGGTGAAATTGTACTGGGAGTGTGTGAAGTATTGGACTCTCAAGGAGAAGCCGCTATCCCTTTTATCCTTCCATTCCATTCACTTTGTCTGGTGTGGCACAAGATATTCATCATGTGATGGCAGAAAAAGAAATGTCCCTCAGTCCCTACAGCACCAATGCAGCTGCATCCAGTCCTCTCCTAACCTTCTAAAACCTGTTGCTATTACCTGCTGGTACAGCTACTTCCTCCTTACTCAATTAAGCTGGACAAGTTCCCTTCTTTCAATGATGATGAATAAAAGAGGAAGCTGAAGTCATAGTTTTCTTTTGGATTTCCTTTTATTTCTTTTAGACTGCCACCCCCCTCTCTTTTTTAAAGTTGTTTAATAAATACTGAAGACCATAAAGCCATTACCTAACATTTAGCAGAATGTGGGCTATTACATTATTCTCCAAAAGTGGCATTTTACTACCATTTTCAAGAAAGGTATCCTAGTTGCCCTTAATGGTATCAGCAAAATCATTAGGTTGCAATGGCACTGAAGACACTCACTCCCCTTGCACAGAAACAAGCATGAATAAGATTCAAACTGGACTTTAGGATTATTCTCTTGACCTTTACCTTTGGATTATGAGATTTATTAGCTGTAATACACTTAGTGGAAGGCTGTAATTCAGGGAAACCTATACACATTTACTTTCTTGTCAAAACTGAATTCCTTCTGGGATGCAGCATTACTGCTGCTTTAAAAGGACAACAGAAGACCAGAGACCACCACTGAATGTCAAATAGTATTTGCATTTACAAATACATTTTCATATACTTTGAAGGTCCATGTCAATGAGTAGCAACAGAAAACACAAAGGTTATATGCATACACTTTTGTAATAGTGGTATGTTCAGACTAAGGTGGGTAAATGAACCACCACTGGCAGCCATACATTCCATACACCAAAAACTCTAACTAAAGATGTTTTTCCAACCTTTCAACTTCTGTATTGCTCCCCAGGAGCCACTAAAGGTATCAGCATGTCTGCACAGAAGATCTAAGCCTACTGAACAGAATTACTTAATTACCATCACAGATGTCTTCAAAGCGTAATGTGGACCAAAGGTTCAGAACAGTCACTGACTTAAATCTTCAAGACTCAAGAAGCCCCTTCAGGGCTCCTGCTACCATAAGAAATAATTACATAATTATGTTATATAATTCTGTTCATAAATGATCCACATTCTATGTGTGAAAAGTAGAAATAATGGGAACAAAATCCCCAAAACGGAAAATCGGAAAGTTGCCTTAAAATTCTGAAGTTCAGAATCTCTGCAACTGTTTTTATTTCCTGATGAAATGGTTTCCCAGTCAGCTTGTACCTAGCTATTCTCGTGCCAACATTGTCCTTTAGTTTAAATAGTTCTTTCCCTTCCTGGTGATTATTCCCACAGTATTTATAGAAAGAATTCATATGCCTCTTCAGACTTCACTTTGCTGAGCTGAATGGGTTGTGCTCATTCACTTTCCTCTCAAAGGGGACCTTTCCATTCTGACCATCACATCTCATCTCTACACTTTTTCGGTTTAAATTTGCCTTCTTGAACACCCACGTCCAGAACTGGAGGCAGAATTACACAGGAGGGTCTTGTACCTGCACTGATTGGTTCCATTCTTGAACTAGAAACACCAAATTCTACATTTTAGTATTCTTACAGCGTAATGTCGAGTCCAAGCCTTTACAGAGCATTTCTAGTCTTACACTAAACAAAGACCATAGGAAACCTGCTCAAAGAAGCTAGACAAGCTATGCAGAGAAAAGAATCTTTTTCTTTCTAGTGATGCTCTTTTACTTTTTACTGGTATCCTTGGTTTCAGCTGCTTGCCTATCTTCCTCAAGCCCGCAGTGCTTTTCTTGTTTTAAAGCCAGTAACACACAAATAAACTTGCTATCTAACTTAACTGCAAATCTGAGGCTAAGGTGCCAAACTCCACAGATACTGATGTCAAAAACATATAAGGAAATTGGTACATTTTCAACCTGAAAAAGTTCTTATTTTCATGTGTTTTTCTTAAAATAAAAAGGAGGGGGGGTTTTTGAGCAACATATTGTTAGACCTAAAAATCTTTAGTAAAAAGCAGAAGGGGCAGCAGATGCGATGCTGGGAGTCCCCTGTTATCCAATGATGTACAGCAAGGATGATGGCCTGCTGGAGATCTGAGTCCTCTCTTTGTTTAAAGAAGTTTGAACCTGCATATCTCACAAGAGTCAAAGAGCCTGTTGGGCTGGAGTGCTGTAAACTTATTAACCCTTTAACAAGAGATGAGACCAAACAGCCTCCTGATGTTCACTGCTGACTCTCTTTGATTTTGTGTGATGAAACGTAAGAGAACAAAGAGAACAATTCACACCTGAAACTGTGTGTTAAACTGTGGGAGAGAAAATGGTCATTAAAAACCTCCAGGATTAAAAAAAAGTTAAAAAATCTGAAAACCCCACGTTCATCTGACACTTCTGCATGTTTCCTTCTATGCAGCAGAATTATGGGATTGAATAGAGAAAGAGAGATATGTAGTATTGACCACATTTGAAGGATCAGAAAACATTAATTAGTTATTGCTTCAAGGACTTTAAGACTGAGTAGCTTCAGTGAGGTTCTAGGTGCTACTCGACATTTTCTGATTCAAGAATAGAAACCAGTTTCTTCATCTCAAGTTCAAAGTGGGCTCTGAAGTGAAAATTTAGAGAAGCCCATGGATGATATTTTTCCTATTCTGAAAGCCAATATAAAGAGTCTCCTGGGCTAGATGCAAACAAAAAGTTAGTTTTTCCACTGCAGTGCCATTTAACACATATTTTGCCAGGAGTTAATAAAAGCACAACTTGCTTGACTAGTTTTACACAATTGAAAAAAGAGTTAGGTACTGAGTAAAGTGTCTTAAATCCATTTCCCTGCCTGTGTCCAACTGTGCATATATACACAAGAAACCCAACTTACTAGGATAATGTCATCCAGCAAAATCCATAAAGATTGGAACACATCAACTATAAATTTCCCCGAACAGGACGAAGTATATTCTGTGATAACATTCTTCTTCCATGGGGGAAACATGCTGAGATTCTTAAAACCAGTCTATACTGCACTATGCCTTCAACATGTTTAGTCAGTGAAGAAGGTTCATTATGGCCAATATGTGGTAATCCAAAACCAAACACTACAACCTACTGCCTTCAGAAGCTGGAAGATCTGCAATTTTTGAATTAAAATACTATACAATTACTGAAAATGTTATTAATTACTTCTGAGGGTGCAGCATATTCTTTCAGGAATATGCTCTCAGGACTAAATGATCAAATGAGCAACTCTTCCAACTACTGTATTTCAGAAACAAACATTCAGAGATTTCTGTCATTAGGCATATAACACACTCAGTATGTTCGGTGGTTTTTCTGAAATCATCACATGCCCTAGAGGGATCAGGCTCAAACCTGAGCTGCTAGGTGTGAATTTGTTAGCAAGTTCTGCTTACCTAAGCAGCTAATCTTAAGGAAGGTCAGAAAGCAGCTACTATTTTAAGAGTACCTAGTTTAAACAACAGTATAATCAGGGTTAAAAATAAAAGGACTGCTGACTGGTAGGTCACTGTCTGAAGTGAACCTACAATACCTTAATTAAGATCACATTCAAAATTCCTTTTAAAAATGGACGTAAATTCACAAACAGAGCCAGATGATGAGTCTGCTTCTTCAGCTGCAGCAGAGCTGCTGTTCTTGTACACTGTATTAGCGGAGCTCAGGCAGCATAGGCAGCA